GAAAAATAGGAACCACCTTTGGTGGGAAGGTAACCGCGTTTCGTCGAGCGCCCTTTAGTCGAACGCGGTTTTGTGGTGGAACCGTTGTTACCTAGTTGTGTAATAAAATGTCTGCAAGAAAACAAGCAAGCTGAGAGAGCATCAAGGACCGACCACTCCAGGACTAAACCTTTATGTTCAAACTGAATTTAAGTACATTTGCCTCTCACATTCACCCGAGAATAGGGATATTCGTAGCTGCTTTGTAGAAGAACTCAATGAATATTTTCTGCGATATAGCCTACCTAAAGTTTGATTATTTCCCCAGAAAATCCAGATGGATAGGTCAGCATCAGGCTGTTCTTGTGGACGAGTTGTCAAAAGGGCATCCATTTGGGAATCACCATCGTAATCACCAGGAACTACACTGGTTATCACAACATCCCTAAAATTAAGGGAACAGAAGTTTTAAAGTACCAAGTATACTACATCTATCTAAAGAAATGCCACTTATATATGCTGCCTTACGTATAAATGTTCTAGTTCAGGTTAAGATCTTGATAAAATAATCTTTAGCACTCTACCTTCTTAAATTCTGTAGCTCCGATGGGTTAAAGGATTTCACATTTCAAAACTAGTTCACCGAATACACAGTTTCATCCTCCAAAAAACAATCTTCGAAGATTACATTTTATCATTATCTTAACACTTCTAAAAATGGCCACATCCCCTCTGCTCCATTTGTATACTGTCTACATCAGAAAGCACAAGCAGCAAGCAGAAAATAACCTACAATTTTTTTCTGAAAACCACTGGCTCCATTAATACTTTAAAAAATGCCAATATATCTAACGCATGTACAGCTCTAAGCATTTACTGAAAGGTACACTGTCCTCAAAAAAGGCCTTGGTGCATGTTCTGTAGTGCTCTGCTTCATTATGAATGTAACACATCACTACCAGTTAGATAAATCATGAATTATTACTGTAATCATCTTTGAGGCTGCAGAAAAATCCCCATACGAGCATTACAAAACAGATCTTTTGAGATCTCAGTATTATAAAGGTAAAGGTTCCCCTCGCACATATGCACTATTAGTTCCCGACTCTAGGGGGTGATGCTCATCTCCGCTTCGAAGCCAAAGAGCCAGCGCTGTCCGAAGACGTCTCTGTGCTCATGTGGCCGGCATGACT